TTAACTCAGAACACATTACTTTTTTTCTTGCAGTTGCATTTTCTCCTAAATTTTTTGAATGAAGCAGTTCTTTAGTTCCTGTAATTTTACAGAAAAAGCTTTTCTTTGTAAGCATTGATGATTAGTTAGTTCATTATCATAATACCAAAGAAATGAGATAATGATTATGAAGTAGAGTAAGTACGCCAGGGAACTCTAATTTTGCTAATTTTCACCCCTTCCTCCTCACTGTCTGTGAAGCTGAGGTACCTGAAAATGACCGTATCACTCGGGAACAACTTTGCAAACAGCAACCAGTCACTGGCAAGGCTATCGATGGTTTCTTTTTTCGAAGATTGAAGGAGCAAACCGGGTGATTATGTACTGATTATGTGGGAAGGAAAAATACCAAAAGAGGAGGCTAGATTATTGCTGTTGTCCAATAAATAGCAGAGTTTCGTAAATGATTAACTGTTCTGAACTCAGCGAAGGGAGGGAATGCACAGTATGTTAATTCATAATCATAAAATTTATCGATTGCAAGTTAGTGAGAAAACGTGGGGTATTTGTTTTTTTTTTTTTGAAGTAGGCGGAAAAAGGAGTAGCCAGACACAGCATAAGCTTCAATACGTTGACTGCAATCATAAATTTTAATGGCAGTAATAATATCTTAAACTGAATCACATTGTTATCAATCACAGCTTTGCTACAAACCGAAACTTCAAACCAATAACTTACAAAGCAGTGGCTCAGTTGAATGGCGATTAGATACCATACCAGTTGAAATCTCTGAAATTGATTTCGTTAATATCTGGATAAAGCATGCCTCGATGCATCAATTGGCTTTTTCCTGTCTTGTCCTTGTTCTTTGTCACTGTCAACGCAGCTACGACATTTCCACGTGCGCTTGACGTAGCTGCGACGTTTCGTGGATATGCGGTATACAAGCGATTGAAGTTCCATCGCCTGTTGATGATCCTGGTCTATCGTCTTTCCTCCTTTTACATTCCATCGATGTTACCGTCCGCAGGATGTTTCCATGATTTTCTAATATATCAGCAAGTGATGCTTCCTGTTCTGCCTATTTAAGAACCTCATATCCGGAGAGAAAGATGCTGGCTATCAGCCTGGGAGAAAGTGCGCTAAATTTTTTAAGAACCTCAAATTTTGGATGGTAAGAAGCTGAAGGTCGTGCTGGCGATCAACTGTGCATAAGAAATAATATTTGTAGGCACTGAATGCAATTAAAGCAACAATGAAATTAGCGTTAATTGGAGGTTCGTCGTCGTCATCAGTCACGCTAAATCAGGTCATTCATTTTTGCAATAATTGTAATAATTTTTGGTTCTGGGATCAAAAAGCCTGTCATTCTTTCGTTTGGCATGTGGGAGCACACCTCAGGCAATTGCCCGGACAGTTTCGATATTTTTGTTAACAAATTTTTGGACATTTCATAAAAATTCTGACAGAAACATTGAGCTAATTGTTTAATCGCTAATTCAACACATTCGTGGTACTTATGCGGTTGTTTGCAGTACCTGGAGCTGTGTCGATCAGTGCATAAATTATTCTTCCAACTACTACTCATCACCGATAAATTTGATGAAATGATAAAGGGAATAACAAATGTTCCCGATGCTCAGGTATTCTTTGTGTTTGGATATTGACTTACAGGTCAGTTTCAGCTCCTGTGCATCTGAAGCAGGTATATAGGAAGCTGAAACTTTGCATGGATATTCTCTGTGCATTTATGAGCCAAAGATTTCAAATTTAGCTGTCGCACACGCATACACTGCGCGTACGGTCATGTCAAAGTTCGCAGTTGGCATTATTGCATTTTATGAATTTTGGTGCAATCAATTTGCATCTGTACAGCTCCCAGATGAGAGAGCATTGATAGCCTTGCCAGTAGGTGGTTGCTGTTGATATTTGCTACCAGTCGGTCTACCTGGTGGAGAGTTTGGACTTTTGAAATCGTTTCTGAATTTTAACTGGTCAGACCGCAAAATCACTGCCAGCAATGTGTATATTTTTATCGAATTTCTTATGAAATTCTGTGAGGTTTTTTTCACTCTTCGACAGTAACAACAAAATCAAACCGATTGGCGTCAAAAAAATCTTGTTCAAACATTATTTATGTAAGTTTCGAAGGGAATGGTCAAATTTTGGACATTCAGGATCTCCTTATTTTTCTCTGGAAGACACAGGCCGGACTTGCAAGGCGGATAATTGTCTCATTTTTCGAACGCCTATTAAAACAAGCTGAAGGTGGTTAAGTGTAGAAACGAGTGATGAATCTCTGAAGGGTCTGACAGTGAAATGACTGAAATAAGTGCGTGGAATTTGGCTGACGGTTGCTGAGTTACCGTACTGCTGCTGCTGCGGTAATTGTTGTGCTGTATTGTGGTGATCATCATCAGGTGAAGGTGGGGAGGGGGTGCGCTAGAGAAGGGGGCATCGGTACCTGCCAACAACCAGATTCCCGATTCTTTTGACGCTTTTCAAATGTGTGCACATCCTCCTTTCAAACTGTCACAACACCATCGCGCAAATTATCTTTCCTCCCCCGGACAGTAGTAGTTTAATCGCCTCATTTCACGGCTTCCACTTTTTATTGCGGTTTGGCATTGATGGCGGCGGCATCGTTTGTCCCCTTGTTCCTGCCTCTCCTGAGTTGTCATTTTCAACCGAAATTGATCTACTCTGAACAGGTTTAAAAATTAGCTCAGTAGTAGCATGCACCGCTTTGATTGATGAGTTAGGCAAGGTAGGAAAACTGAGAAAAAAAGAGGGTGACTTGATGGTAATAACGCTAAAATTGCTGAAATTCGATAGTATGCTAAGGTGAAGATAGCAGCGGTCTTAAACTCTTTGCCAGTTTAACAAAACGGTTTTTGGGTTAGAAAGAGTTCGAAGAAAGGAGGGAAAGGCGCTGAATTTGCTGATTTTTGATGGTATAATATAGTTTGAATAACTGTCTTAAACTCTTTGCCAATTTGACAGAACGGCTTTTGGATTAAAAAAAAAAAGAAAAAAAATGCAAAAACGAGCACATGCAGGATAAATGTGAACAGACGAAATGCTTGAAGGCAGCAATGTAACTTACAATTTATCCGAGCCTCCTGTTTGGAGCACTTGCACAGGAAATTTATGAGATTGAAACAACTTTACAGGATACGTAATCCACTTCTGGAAGAAACTGAAAAAATTCAAAAAATGCATTAAAAACACAGTTACAAATACATTAGATCCTCCGCAATACTCTTAAGGAAGCTCTAGGCCAGCCGTTACTATAATAAAGCTTGCATGAGATTGTTGATCTGTTAGCTGAGGCACATTGCCCTGAAAAAGAGGAGCGCTGTAGTATTTTGGATTTGAAGAGCGTTTATAGGATTAGCATGGTTGAGAGGATAATGAGCCACACAAATCATTCATCAATTGTTCAAAATTTGAATAACTGGCCAAATCCGGGAGGAACTTCCCCTGGTAATATCGTTTTCCGCCAAATTGGCTCTGTTGTTTTGTATTCTCGCAGCAGCAGCAGCAGCAAATCAAGTTTGTGGGTGGGAGGCCTTCCGGAATGTAGCTTTCTTCCACTTGAAAGCATTTCATTTGTTCCACCTTACCGATTCGCTTACATTAACAAAGACACCGTAGTTTGTACGACTTGCGTAGTTTTTTTCTTACCTTATCGTGGTTACCGAAATCGCCCGTGTAATCCCTATATGGATCCGGTATTACACACTCACACGCCTGGCGTTGCAATCCAGGCCGTTCGGTCCTACAATAATTCACATTCTGAAATTAGTGCTTGACCTGCCTGTTCGATGTGTGTGCGCTATTTTCTTAAAAATTTCCACAGTGGTGGTTTACTTTTTTGCGACTAACTTTTTCTTCTTATCGGCCTTTTTCCCTCACTGAATGGCCGTTGTTCCTGCCCCTCTGTTACTAGGCTTTTCCTTTCCCCTATAGGGCCTTTACGGTCCGTATTGCCTTTTACTTTATTTCACGGATACAGTAGGACATATCCGGTTTTTTCTTTTTCTTTTTTTTTCTTCCTCGCAAGTTACATTGACGTTCTGCATCCCACCCATTTGATGATATGATTTTTCATAGGCTCACGAAGAGATACACTAAACATCCTTTACTCCATCGCTCTCACAGTCATTGTGAGTGTTTGCTGCTCTCCTTTTGTAACTGATTACGTTTCGTATCCGTATATCGCAGTTTTCACTGTAGTTGTGAATTTTCAAAAATTTTTGTGAAACTTAGAGTGACAGGATATGGGTTGGAATAATTTCTGCAATTGCGCTTTTTGCAATTTTTGCAGTCGCAAAGGGCTGAATCAGTAAATATTAGGATAATTTCTGCAAAAAAAAAGTTCTTGCCTCAGAAATGAATTAAGAGGGCATGTATGATTGATGAGGATTGATTAATTTACCCATCTTTATGTGAACCGTGGTCTTACAGTCATCACAGAGAGCAGCATCCTTATTAAACCATCCTAGTTGTCCCCCATCATTACAGTGTGGTGCCATTAGCAAAGAAACGTTCCTCGTCCACCACGTTTTACGTGAATTACGTGAAAATGCGCCGCATTTTCACTATTACTTTGTGGCTGAGCTGAACACGATAGTGGAAAAACGAAAATGGAAAAAAAGCGCATTTTTTTTTGCTCTGTTATTAAATTTGCTGTCATAGCGACTGACTGAAAGAAAAAAAAAACATCTGAGGTTTTTTAATGAACAAAACATTGCGAATAAAATGTAAAGCAAGATAAGAATGAAGTTGAAAGTATGGGTAAACGTGAGGTGGAGAGTCGTTCGTATTGGAGGAATTGAAATATTTAGTAAATGCGCGGTATTTACCGGAATAGGGAGGGAGAAGGGATTAAAATCAACAGTAAAGCAGTATAAAAACTAGAAACAACATCGAAAACGTTTAAAAATTGTTCGCAAAAAAATCAAAAATTGATACCTGAATCGCCGAGTTACGGGCGCAGGATTTCATCCTCTTCGATTTTTCAGAGCGCGAAGCAGCTGAAAAAAAAAATACAGAATCTTATAACTTTAAAAAAGAGGAATTACGAATTTTACGAAGATTTTAGCATATTATTTCAGGACACAGATATGTCATCGGAAGTGCTCTGTCTGCACAGATGCTTGCTTGCAAGCATACCAGATTCGGTGCATGCCGTGGAAAATACTGTCCCAGGATTGTCGTTGGAGTCCAATACCGATGGGCTGCTAATGTTTTTGCAAAAGAAGCAGTACAAAAATGCACTGCATACTCTCCGCCAGCTAAGGTCAATTTTTTTCCCCTTGATAGGAACTAAGAGGCGCAGGTGGGCGAGGGGGGAGGGGGTTCAGAACTCACTTGTTGCTAATGTAATAATGTAATGATGCAGAGTGAAAGATAGGCCTGTGTAGAATTATTGCCTGGATTCGGAAAATGATATCCAGATTTGCTGAATCCTCTTTTTTTTCGTCCCTTTTTTCGATCTCAACGTATTACCTGAAAATCAGCCTGCCATGGAGATGAATTCAACGTATTTTTGCTTTTTTCTCAAACTTGCAATCAATTTGCTTGTAAGCAACACTCGAAAGAAGGAGCTATCATCAACAGTTGTGCTAGTGGGAGGTTGCTCTTGGCATTTGCTACCTCGGAATATTTCCGAGTATCCTCGCGTCAGTGAATGAAAAATACGGGAGGATTTTTGAGTACCTGATTTGTTCATTACAACGGCATGTAGTAGAAAGTTATAATAAGAAAGAATGGAAAATGGCAAAAAAAAAAAGAATGGGAATGTAAAGGATGACGAAAATTAGAAAATTTTACGTAAATTAGGAGAAAAGTTTAAAAGGGAAGTAAGGAATGAAAAAAATTAAAATTAAATTAAAAGATTTTAAAATTAGAAAATTTTAGTAAAGATTAGAAAAATCATATTAAAAAAATATTAAAATGATAACTGTGTAAGTTGTGCAATGACGTCTGGCCATGTGAGGTGTGCTGTGGCGTCTGAAAAAAAAAATCACTTGCTGTGAGGACAGATGGTGAGATGAAAGG